AATCTATTGTAACCAAGACGATTACAGCCGCACCGGGAATCAACCTCAGCCCTCGTCCTCCTCAATTCAGCTTTATGGGGAAATTGAGAGGTATCTATCTGTTTCAATACTTTTCCCCTAAACAAGGGCTTAGGGGTTTTTCAATATCTCTATCAATATGGATGGTATTATTCCTTGCAGCTTCTGCAAGTTGCTAGAATATCACTATAATGCTGTTTTCCAGTCTAGATTGCACCAAAATCTGAGTCATTGGATGAGTGCAAACAGCTCTAGATTCAGGGGGCATGTATCCAATGGCCCATGTTTGCATTCTTGTGCAGTCTAGACTGCAAAGCTCCTTTTTTTTTACAAATTAAATAACCCGTGGTCATTATCTGGAAAACATAACATTAAGTCATTACATTGAATATTCCAAATGTTCTTTAAATCTTACAGATGCAGAGGTCAAAGGTTTAGTTGTTATGTGATTGATTCATTGTTTATCAAATTTCATTTAAGGAGAAATGATTGCAAATGGTGTTCTCTTCTTTATTTGTTTTCAGACTTCTCACTGAGACTGTAAGGCAATCTCAAGGTGCTTGGGGTGGCTCAAGTGACTGGAGTGAAATTGAGGTTTTGCCTAGTATTATCAAATATAAAAAAGATAAAAAAAAAAAAGCTTTTTTGTTCTTTAGCTTCATTTACTTGTGAATTAGTCATAGAGTTATTTTAGTTTTCAGAAGGAGGAATTTATTGTCAAGACAACTGTCAATTACTTGAAAATCCGCTTGTCTCTTGAAAGAGATTACCCTTCCATCTCTTACATTATAGGAAACATTGATTTACTGATATCCCAAGTCCATCTCACATATATCCTTAATCCCCCCCATGATCCAGAAAAAAATGAGACCAACAAGAAAGGAGATAATCTAGCTTTTGTTGAACACTCCAAAAGTTCTAAACAATAAAATTTTACCAACCAATGTGTGCATGATATCAGGCCTTTCAAGTTTTTTCATTTCTTTTTCTTTTTCTCATGTTCAGCTTGCATTTGGAAACATAATACTATAATATCTATCAGCTTAGGCTTCTTTATTTCTTTCCCTCATGCCATGTTATCAACAAAACATAGACTTTTTCCACTTAATATTATGTTTTGGGATTAAATCCCCCAACTTTTATTTCACTTGTCTTTTCTGTAAACTTGTATAAGCAGCAATATTCTTCTGTCCTTTTCATGGGAAAATGAAAAGATTTGAATTGATCTACCTTATTGCCTTAATGAGATTCATACTATCCATGGGGCATGGGTTCTTAAACCGAAAAGTGCAAAACTGAAGTCAGTTGTTCATTTTGTTGGAGCTGCCCCTCAGCTTACATACCGTTTGTTTCTTGAACGGCTCTCAGAAAGGTAAGCTTTCCAATTCTTATGTTTGTAGGTTAACTTATCTTTTACTTCCTAATTATTGAACAATTGATTTAGTGGTTGCCGTACATTTGTTGAGTTACTCTGACACTAATTGAGCAGAATAATACTTATTTAGCAAAATACTTCATTCTCTTTACTTGTATCTGATGTAGTTCATTTTAGAGTTCTATGTAAAATAGTGACGTGAAGTCCTTTAATTGATCTGATTCCTATTATGATCCATTTAGCTGCTGGTCTTATTTGAGATTAGAAGATTTGGCCTTTAGAAATTTTAAACGACAGCTGTAATCATTGTGATGCTAGCTTCCGAGAAAATTTGGAGTTTAACCTTGTCCATTATCTCCAGGGCTATTTTGGTGATTGCAATGCCATATGCCAGTTGGATTTGATTATTTCTTCATTGCAGATGAAGTGCAATCTAAATTTGACAGATGTTTACGGTTTTTGCAAGAAACAGTGAGCTCTCTTGCTCTCTTTGCCCTTATCAGAAAAAGAAAAAGAAAATAAATGACCTAGATTTCCTTCATCATGCAGGTGCAAGATATTCCTACTTTTGGCATTGGCCATTCTTTGGGATTGGTCATTCATCTTTTAATCGGTATTTCACAATCTTCTTCTTTTGTATTGAGTGTAAGGGTATGGCTGGTTTTGTTTACTGCAATTTGTTATATTAATGACCTAATTTTTCAGGGTCAAGATATGCTGTGCAAAGAAGTGGGAATATACTAATGGCGTTCAACAACAAGGTAACTGAACTTTCAGCTGTGTGTAAATGTGTAATGTATAATTGCAAAAGAGGATTAAAAAAAAAAGGTCTATGTACTGTGCAAAACATTTGTCCTCAGAAATTTTAAATTGGGTTGACTTGGTAAGGAATGTTGTATTAAGGACTTGGAAGGATCTGTGTTTCCTTTCCTTGTATCTCCTTATATCCTAAGCAGATGAATGTAAATGGAAACAGTAATCTATCTTATTATTAAATAGTTTCTCCTCTTTAATTTCTTGTAGCAAATTTATCAGGCTACACTTATTTATTTTCTTTTCTTTTTTTTGATATGCAAAGGAAGTCATGTTTATGTTATTTAGTCTACATAACTGATTTGAGGTTAAGAAAATATTGCTCCTGTTTTTTGTAGGAAGCAAGCTTTGCTATCCCTTTGTTCTCACCTGTTCTTGTCCCAATGGCCCAAAGCATTGGACCATTGCTATCACAGATTGCATCATCGCCAACTATCCGACGTGGGGTAAAACCCTAACTTACCAGCTTTTCTGGCTAAAAATGCATGTGAATATTACCTTTTGAAGTCTGCTACTTCCGGCTGTGTTCTCTTTTGATATTTTCTCCTTCAAATTATGAATTTATTTACAGTATCAGTAATGTAGATAGAATCTAGGAACCTGTCCATAGTTTTGATTGCCAGCATAAGTAATGTTGTATTATATTGGTATCCCTTGTCTTCTCTATCATTATTTCTGTTTTATTTTTAGTTTATTTTCTATTTTTTGCCCCAATTCGTGTTGTCTTGTTCTAACATTTTTCTTTTTTTTGATAAGTTTGTTTTTACAACCGGGGACAATCTGGTGTTCTTGCAAACTGGTTCATCAAGTTCCCACACTATAGGAATAGAAGTAGCTATGTTGGTACTGCAAATTTATTACTTCAACTCTTTCATATCAAACATGTTTAACATAGATGAATATTAAAGTTATTTTGGGTCTAAAACTAGGCCATCATTATGTACCCATCTAGTTGAACTTATGCTTGAGTTCAACAAGAAGTTAAAGTAGTTTAAATTGAAAGGAATTGTTGTATTGACATAACAACTTTTAAGTTTTCAAGTTCATAGATATGGAAAGATCTAAAGTCTACCTCTTTGTTGCAACTGGGCAATCCAATTTTAGAATTTGCTACTAATTTTAATTCAAGTGCTGAGTACTTCTGGTCTCATGTATTGATATCATATTCAAGTTGTTCCTATTTCAATGATACTGAAAAAGGTTTACAAATGTGTGGGATTGCAGTTATAGAATTAGCTAGCTTAGAAAGAAACATACTTTTAGACCCTACCCTCTTTGGTTACCTCATGCGGCAAGTTACAGCTTAGCTTGGCTTATTTGTCCTATTTTAGTTTGATGCAATCTTACTCTCGTAGATTTGCCATAATTTATGGTGATAAAAATATTCATGAAAGGAACCATGCATACAGTCAAGTAGCATTTAGTTTAATTTATATTTGATTACATATATTCATGAAAGGAGCTATGAAAAAAGTCAAGTAGAATTTATTTCAATTTGTTCAGTTTCTTACTACAGCTATTTTACATTTGACATACCTAATAAATGAAGGAATCATTCAAGACACACTAATAGAAGGGCCTTCAATATTTAGCCTTAACACTGTTTTATGAGTCTATGGTTGATATGCCTTAATGCAATGTGAAAATGTGTTTTGGAAAATATTGAAGACATGAGAATTTTACGTTAAGAACTGCATTATATTGGATATTCAATTCAATTGAGCAATTTGATTGTGTGTGATTGAAAATTCTAACTTTGACATTGAATATGTGATGACTTTATTATGGCAGCCATTTTTCCTCTCTCGTTATTTCATCTATTGTTTTCTCTTTTTTACTCTCTTGTTTTTACAAAACTAATAAGATAGAAATTCATGAAATCTAAAAGTCTTGCATGGAACTCTCTATTCACTATCCGAATCTATGAATTATTAATTTTGTGAAAGCTTTAGAACTACAACATATGTTATATTGATTGATAACTTTACAAATCACAATATCTATGTATTCATTAAAATTGGTTCATTCAAAGTTACACCTGACACCACATTGTGCAACGTGGGGATCCAACTAGTAATTACAATGTTACATAATTTATAAATTTATAATTTTGATGTGTTATTATATGATCGAAAATGATATATTAATGCTAGTGAATGAAATAACTCAATAGTAATTTTCTTTTGTTAGAAGTAGAAGGTTTTGAATTTGAATCACATATATGCAGTTGGGATAGGATAAGAGATGAAAAAATGTTACTTTTCATTATGCAACTTAGATTAAAAAAAAAAGTAAAGACAATGATGTATTTACAATATCACATGCTATTGTAAATTTATACCATAATGATTTTTTTATAAAATTAACTCTTTTTATTCATGGGTTTACATGAATATTTTGTGAATCTAATCATTAAATGTTACGTCATATTTATTTAATGTCATATAGGATTATAATGTCATGTAGGTTTGTAAGTTTACAAATTTACATAACACTATAACTATAGTATTACCATTATATGATTGACTTTTCTCACTAAGTAAGAAGTATTATATGCATCAAGTTCTTTAATATCAAATTATTATGTTTATTTCATATCTTGATTTATCAAAGATAAAACTCATATGAGTAATTTAATTTCCAATGATATCATCTACTTTGATTCGCCGGAGAAAATAAGATCACCACATGGAAATTAATTTGGATTTGTTCTTTGGGTACGCTTTAATTGATCAATAAAATTTAGTGCTAGTGACAACCAGATTGAAACTAATTTGGATTTGTTTCTCTTAATTTTTTTTTTATTTTTCTTTAATTTTTCCCACCCTCCACATTTCCCTTTGTAAAAGAAAAGAAATCAGAAAAATTATTCCACATTTCCCTTTGTAAGGAAAAAAAAAAACAGATTAGATATTATTTGCTTGAATGATGCCTTTGTTAGTGTGGACTTCTAATTGGATCAGATTATTCTATGTAAAAACATTGGGTCCATTTTGTTGAATTGGGCCGTCACTTAATGAGGACCAGAAGCAGCCTGTTTTACTATTCTACTCTAATTTCCATTTATCGTTTCGCTTCCGTCTAATCCTTTTACTATTTTTAGTCTAATTTCCAATACCACTCTTCTTTCTATCACATAAGAACTCAGTCATTTACCAAAATATATATATATATCAAAAAATAAAAACATAAAAACTCAGTCCATGTGCTATAAAATTGTAAAATACTATTTTTAAGAATACTGATTTTATTTAATTTAATTGATAAAAATGATTAATAATTATGATTATTAATTAATAAATGATAGAGCAATGGATATATATTAGTTTA